TATTATGATCGAAATAAATTGGACAAATAATTAGTTTTTATAATTTAGGACAGTGGCGTACTCTAAGGGAGGAGATGAGGGGCAATTGCCCCGGCAGCAAATTTGCACACAAGAGTTGAAAGATTTTTTTATGGATGAGAAAAATTAACTCTATAAAATTGGGGGGGGGAAAGGCATTAAAAACAATATTTACCCATGGCAGCAAAATTATAAGTACGCCACTGACTTAGGGATGAATAAGAATATATTATTTGCGAGTGTGTGTGTGTGTGTTAATATGTTATGAATGACTACCCGGCCAGTGTTGTCTGCTCACAGTCTGTTCAGCGTATGCGTACTTAGGTGTCAGAGTCTAAAATTGTACGCGTATAAAATATTAAATAGTTCCATGCAGGGTTTTAGTTATTCAAGCTATAGGTATATGAATTTCATACAAGCGAGGAAAACAAATTATACTGTATTAAATACCCATACCTGCCAGTAAAATTTTTAAATAGTTATCAAAAAATCATCCATGACCATCTCATCACTTTCTCACGAGTCACGGCGGTTGACGATTGATGAATTACAATAATAATAATACTATTATGCAATAATAAATAATATTGTAATAACTAAATTGACGGAATATATTATCATATTACTAGGTATATGCTAAATTGTGTGATTGTTGTTTGTTTCATTATCAACAAACGTTTATAAACACCGCGAACAATTTAATAATAAAAAATCAGATTATATTACGCCTATGCAGTTTTTTTTATATTCACAATGCTTGACTTCAGAACGCTGCAGTTAGTGCATTTTTTAAGAATAACTTAAAATAATATTTCACTTTGTCAATTTTAAATATGTGATAAAAAAAATAAGAATGTTGGTCATGTTTGCTTCAATAAGTTAATACACTGGTGCGAGTTTTAAAATATTATTCTATTCGTGCTTGGCCTAATTACGCGATGGCGTACCTACTTCACATATCAAATTTTTTTTTAAATATTGATCATTATATAATTATGTAGGTTTATTAGAAATTTCGTGTATCAGGTGATCTACTATACTGGGATACCAATTTAATAATAGTGATCTACCACAAAATTAGAATGTGTACATACAATGTATTAGGAAAATGCATTTTTGTTTTGGTTAAAGATTGAAAAATAATTCTTATGTAAAAATATGTGTCATTTAAATGTTTGTTAATGATGAGTACAAAATATATAGTACATTATTTTCCGTTTTTTTAAGAAACATTTTCTATTTTTTCATTTTCATATTTCGTATTAAATTATCAATAATATTTATCACAATTATTGACTCGTATTTATGATGAAAATCGACACATGAGCTTCCGAAGATATTTTGTCGAAGTAGGTAAACATATTTTTTTATACACGAATTAGGTAATTACTGTAAGCCTATTATATTTTTAACTGTTTATATTTGTCTATAAAATGCCTTTTTTTATATTTTGCATAATCGTATATCAATAAATCGGATAATAAATATTTGTTGTAATTTACAAACTGAAATTAATCTCTACGGATCCACTAAACTTTGATCAGACATCGAAGTAAAATAACATGTGATATGTAATATGTGATGATGGTAAATTGGTGACTGTTGACAAATATTTATGAAATTTGATGGATCAGGACCACATTATACCCTCGTACATATTTTATGATTAAAAGGCAGTAGGTTCGCGCCTGTTACCCGGATGCCTTGGCATCAACTAATATGATAGCTAAAAGTTCGATTTTTCTCAAAGCGCTATGATAATCAACAACCCGTTACTCGGGGGTGTTATAACACATACGCAGTATTATTAAAATGGACGTCGTCACGCGTATCTCGGATTCGAAGTGTCTTTCGCAGCAATCGGTACAATATTATAATCCCTCGAACAATAAACGACCTCCGACTAGTACATCATTAAAAAATACATTAAGTTGTAACACTTATAAATTTATAATGCTGCGATGTACCTATCTATGTAATAATTTACAACGGCTGCTGTATATATAATCTTTAGTTTCCGGCGCACACGCCGTCGTGTAATCCGCTTATGTACATTTTTGATGCGGTTATCGTCGACTTCCGGCACCGCCGCCCATAAGGCGATTTGCGCCCGACATCGAAGTGCAATTTTTCATCTCCGTTTCCTGCCCGTGGTGTGCAGGAGCCCGCGAATCTTTATACCACTATACGACTAATAGCAATCAACGCACGGGATATAATAATGTCTGCACGCTTACGATTACAACATTTTTTTTTTTTTTTTTTTTACTGGCGGGCAGTACAACTGCAGCATAAAAAGTTAAAAAATGTACTATGTACACCTATATAGTTTGGACGTACATACGAAGTTACTCAATACGAAAATGTTCAAACTCGTTGCAAACACGAAACAATATTTTACATTATTTGTAAATATTCAATCTTCAAGAATTTTGAAACGTCCACCCCTTAGCCGTTAAGTCGAAAACCAATTTCCGGGCCAAAGTTCACCAACTACTCAATATACGCTAGAGCCCGACAGGGCTTCTGAATATAAATTGTTAACAATCGCTTGACTTAAAGGGGGCGAATTCGGGAATCCAATTTTCAATATAAGAATATAACCTTTTTAAATGTATTTATTCATATAATATTGTTTGCATCATGTCGAGGGGCTAACTTCACGACTTCTTAGTTTTGTTTAATAGTAACATTACAAGCCATATGACTTTTTCGCAAGTTGCAGTTTCACCTTTTCATCTTATTTGTTTATAATTTAATTTTTTGCGCAGAATTCGAATGTTAAATCAGTTAATAAAACTATAGAAAGTGGGGTTTTTCGTCACTGCAACTTAAATTATATTATTTAGAAAATTAATTTATACCACTTGTATTATTATACAGTATTATGATCTGTATGATTGCAGTCAAATAGGTGGGTAACAATAGTTGATGAAAGCAGTTAATTTAATGGAGAAAAGTTAACAAAAGATAAATTTAACCAGCTAAGTTTAAAGTTGATATGGTAAAAAGCATTAATTTTACTCAGTTTCAAATAAGTGTACCTGCTTTTTTAATAAAATATAGTATATAGATGGTGGATTGTGGATCACATAAAGATTATTTTGTGCAAATAGGGATTTTAAATACATTTAATAAAATATTATGTTTTATCGTGAAACATATCAGAAAATTATTCTAAAGTTATAACTTATTAGGTATTAATATAATATATTATAGTACCTACAAATTCAATTTTTCCATGCAGCTATACAGCTAAAAATATGTATAGATTATAAAATATATATAATAATTAATGTACAAAACCATTTAAACCAAACATTTCAAAAACATTTTTAATTTTTACTTGGTGGTTTATGTTTTAATCAAATGAATAATCTAAGTCAACAGTCAATTTAAATATTTCAATAAAAAAAATTAATTATTTTGATTTGTTAATGTGCCAGCTTCCATACCTTAGCTTACAGCGATAGACAATATCATAGGTGGACATTTTAGGGAGGATCACTTACTTATCTCACACCAAAAATATAAAAAAAATACCTAAGCTGCAAAAATTCTATATATTTTTGTGGTTGACGAGTATTATTATTGAGTAGGATGTAATATTAACACACATTGAACGATTTGAGATTTGAAAATCTAATATTTTGAAAACAATTTTATTGTATAAGGGTTTATATTGTTTTTTCTTTTACAATTTTTCGAAATCTCGTTAATTATATTAAGTAAATTTACTTGAATTAACTTAAGTTGATCATGTTATAAAAATACATTTTAAAACAATTTATACACTGGATTCATCTTGGGTTACTGTTTCGAAAACAGTAATCTCTATTGTCTTCAAGTAAGCATGTTTATCCTTAGTCGACCCGTCTCATTCAGGATATAAAAATATTTTATTTTATTCACGTTATTATTGGTAGGTCATACTTGTATGACGTATGTACATTTTACTGTCATACCATGCCTATTCTCGGAATATCCTTGACGGGTTTTCACAATTTGTTTTTAAAATACCACAGATTTATTGATTATTACATAATATAATATACCGAGTCGGTAGGTAACTAATCTATATTTTAAGTAAAAAAAATAATGTTACCTAAGGTTGATTATTATTAATCTACCATAATATAAATACTTTATCATTTATGTCTTATGTATCATATTGTTTATTGCTAAACTAGTGAAATATTTTATGATAATGTATACTATAATAATAGGGAACAAAAATATTCTTAAACTTGTAATAGATAGAGGGGTGCGGTTATTTAAGAAATAGTTCACTCCACCCTAAAATTAGAATAATTCTTCTTAATAGTATCAGTCAGTATAATTTATAAGCATATTAACAATTAAGTCTAGTGTGTCATTATTACAGTTGGTATTAGGGTTGGGGTGTTGTGCCTCTATAAAACCTTTGAAAAATACATACAAATAAAAAAAAAGAATAATTAATATAAAGAACTAAAGGCGCCAAAGAACTAAGTCGGTTGTTAACTTTTTTCTAAATATGTATGTAATATTAAAAATAATATTGTTATAATACAGTCACTAAATTTAAAATTATCGATTTGAACGAAACATGATTTATTATTTTATTACGCAGTTAGAGCTGATAACATTGGTCAATTATTTATTTGTTATCTTTATACTAGGTATACCTACATAATATATTTATCTATTAATTGGTTGAGCATAGCTTTACCCGCTAGAAGAATTAATTTTATTCTGTTATTTCTCAAATCACAGTGAATCGACCAACAATTATTATCAAGCTTACAGGTGAGAATATTTTCTATAGGGCACCTTGATACCCATCGATTATATTCTGATTTTGATCAAGTCGTGAGAATTTTAAAATCGTATAAGTCTATGAATCCTGCACACTTCGGACACTTTAAGATATGACTCGTACGCGACAACGGTACCACGGTACAACGAAAGTCACACTTACGTTTTGGTTTTTTTTTCCGCAGATTTGGACACACGAAAATTAGCGTACGAGAAGCAGCACCGGGGTTCGGTCGGATGCGCGACGACTTTGATCTTCAGCTGGTGCGGCAGCAGCAGCAGCAACAGCACCAACAGTTGCAACAGGAAGACGTGGTCGTCGCTGACGACGACGATCAGCGGCGGAGGAGCAGACGGCGGATGCACCAACACCAGCAACATCACCACCAGAACCATCACGACGACGAAGACGACGACGACGACGACGACGCTGACGACGCTGACGACGGAGACGACGACGAAGACGACGCCACGGACGACGGTGACGGCGCCGGCGTCAGCAGCGGTGTCGGTGTCGGCGGTGACGACCGCGACGGTAACCACGGTCAAGAGCGGCAGGGCCGCGGTCAGCGAAACGCCGACGCCGGTGGACCGGACGCCAGTCGGTTGTTGAACGCGACGGACGGTACGGACGACGAAGCCGACGTGGTCGGCGGCGGCGTTGGTGCGAGTACGCGCGGCGACGTGACTGCCAACGTGCCGGCCGACAGCACCGGTGACAGTGCGGGTGTTGCCGGTGACGTGGACGCGAACGACGGTGACGACGGTGACGACGACGACGACGACGACGACGACGACGACGTGGACATGATGATGATGATAGACGCGGGTAGACAGCCGGTGGCCATCGGTGGCCGCGAGTCTTCGTCGCCTCCGGCACCGGCGCCGGTCGCGCTCGGCTCGATCAAAGTCGACTCTGCCACGGCGTCCTCGTCGACGTCTTCGACGCCCCCGCCGCAACCACCGCCGACGTCCGCTTCGACGGTGCCGATGTCGTCCATCACCACCAGCACCACGAGCACCACCGCCGAGGGCCAACAGGTGTGTTATAATTATGAGCGATAATATAATATTGTTTTAGTCCAGACTGCGCGATCGCCTGTATGTCCTGTATATTATAATCCTGTATATTATCAAATATATTATGTTATTCATGCGGCGTAACAGAGAGACCTGACAAATAAAATCGAATTTTTTTTTCCTTCATAGTGAATTCCGTTATTTTTGAACACTAAGCAGTGCATTTTTTTAAGGAATTTTCGAGACAACAAATATATTTCCAAAATAAATATCAATAATTACTGAATGATACCTATAGAATTACTTAATTAATTATGTTCACCCCTCATAACTATTAAAAATAAATATTAATGCCAGACAGCAGTTTCGGCAAATGTATTTAAAGTCAATGAAAATGAGTTGGGTATAATTTATTTAAAATAGAAAGTGATTTCAAGGGAGATATTTATTCATTGCCTAATAATTTGTTTTGGCATGAGTGGTATAAAAATTCATCTTTTAAAAATCGTCTGTCGGCCATTCTTTAGAAAAAAAGTGAACTAGGTGATAAAATATTTTCACTGGGTGACATTTGGGCAGCCTGGTTTACTAGTGTAAAAAATGCACTGGCACCAAGGAAAATACAAACCAACTTTGAATTTATGACAATAAAAAGCAAAAACATTATAGTACATTGCACTCTTATAAATGATACGTATAATTTTAGTGCTTCATTATCGTTTGTTAACATGGCTATAAATTGAAAATAAAATGCATGACGTTTTTCTTTTGCCTAATTGTCTCCACGCTCGATTGTCGTTTACTCAATTTGTCGGGACAACGATTACATGTTGCTGCTTTAGTAACTACACATAATATTGACATTAAAATCGCAGTAAATAAAAACGGAACTATTATTGACTGAGTTTAAATCATTATTTTCCGTATGCACTTGTATCAGGACGATTACGATATGACGACAACGGTTTCCGGTGTCGGCTACAGTGGCATTGGCGACGGTTATCCCACTTCCGCGACGTCAGTGGGTCTCACCGACATGATAAGCGGCGTCGGCAATCACCTCCATCCACACCACCACCACCACTTGCTCCTCTTACATCACCAGCAGCAGCAACAGCAACAGCAGCAGCAGCAGCAGCACCACCAACACGCTCACCCGTCGCAGCTTCAAACCGGCGGGACCGCAGCCACCGGTTATTATGGCGCAGACGCGGTTGGCAGCCAACATCACCATCCGTCAGTGGCCGCTGCGGCGCTGCCACTACCTCCACCGCCGCTGCTACTTCACGAACAACAGCAGCAGCAAATCGGCGGAGACTTGCAGCTGCAACTCCAGCTGCACCACCAGCACCAGCATCAGCACCAGCAGCAACAGCACCAGCACCAGCAGCACCAGCAACTGTTGCAGCAGCACCAACATCAGCAGCACCAGCAGCAACAGCAGCAGCAGCACGAAGACTTATCCCGCCACCACCATCACCACCACCATCAGCTGCAGCTGCAGCAACAGCATCTCGTCGATCACCAGCACCACCATCACGAACTCACCAGCGCCGCGGCCCACCACCATCTGCAGCAGCACCAGCACCAGCAGCAGCACCAGCAGTTCGCGGCCGCGCACCCACACCACCCGCAGTACCTGCAGCAACAGCAACAGCGACAACAGTTCTCGCCGGCTACGGCAGCCGCCACCGCAGCGGCCGCTGCCGCCCTCTCTCACCCCCATTATCACCAGCAGCAACATCACCACCTGCAGCACCAACAACACGGCGACGGCGCTGGTGCCGGTGACGACGATGACGATGACGTAGTGACCGCCGCTGTAGCGGCCGCAGCCGATAACGGTGGATATCCGTCGTCATCAACGTCAGCCACGGCCGCTGCGGCCACGGCTGCCGCTTATGCTGCGGCGGCGGCGCTGTACGGCGGTGGAGCCAGTGGCCAGGGACACCACGGCGTCCACCACCACGGTGGCCATCACCAGCAGCCACAACAGCAGCACATGTTGCTGCCGCCGGTCGTGCCGGCTGCACCTCACCAGCAACACGGCATGCAGCAACAGCACCACCACCAGATGATGGTGATCGGCGGAGGTGGCGTTCCTTCGTTAACCACAGCTCCACCGGCGTCCGGTTAGTATAATGTTTATATTGCTCGTTTTATTTGCCAGTTTTTTGTTTACACCAGATAAAAAATTGGGGGGGGGGGTAGAGGTGGTAACAGGATCGGCACCCCTATTTTTTACGTATTTTATTTTCTGTCACGTGCAATGTACAAACGAAGTACCTAAGTGTAGCGTTAATAAGTTCAATGTTCAAATATTTAATACCAACGCAGCAGTGTCCATAGCGAATAATATTCCAAACTTCTCTGACAACGATAATGATGAACTACGACCTGTAGAATAACAAAAGCACATGATTCAAGAAGCTTAAATATCAAAATATGTAATCTTATCAATATTGATTCGGTTTGATGAATAACAACCATCAATATATTCTGGCAAGCAAACCACTCGACATGCCCCATACATGCCCACTAAATAAGTAACTATTAACTACGATAGAGAAATGTAGGGGCTCAATGATGAACAAAAATTGCTTGCTTCAAGTTTGACACTTCTATTACGCAACTCAAATGGCGCAGCTAATAAATTATACGTGATATTCGTATATAGGTCTAATCTCGAGGACGTGTTTCCGCGGTTTAAAATGTTTAAATTAAATTTTAGGTTCATTTTTCATTTGGGGTCTGTCCCTAGGTATAGTTTGATATTAATCATAAGATGTTTTGACTTAAATGTTGTGAATTACATGACATATTTTTTCAAATGTTTATACATTTGAAAAAACATTTGAATTCCGAATAAAGTCTAACATATTTTTATACCATTCGACATGAAATTAGCTTTAAAAATATAGTTTCTCAAATATTATTATTTTTACATATCTAATTATTTCTCGAAAATGACAAAATATTTACGGAAAAAAAATTGGTCCATCTCATATCAAAATACAGCATAAAAACGATGCATATTTTCCCATTTCAATTAAAATGAGAATTTCTATTGCATTTATTTGTATCCAGAATATTCACATAGCAATTGATTAGTTAGATTCATAGGTATTTACCAGAATAATTTCAATCTTTGATTGAAGCTTTTAATGGATAGTATTTTATTATTAAATATCTGATTACACGTGAGGTATTTTATGGCAGGTCTTCTTGAACGATTTGAGTGCAATCGCAACCGTTTTGCTCTTTATCGAAGATGAGATGACCAACGACTGAAGTAGCCGTTATCGCTGTTATAACTTAGTGTTATGACAGATATCTATTTTGCACGAATTCTGTCCGCGAATTTCGTTTTAAATATAAATCTAACCAAATTACATCTATATCTAGTGCCTTCGTTTTTCCGGCCTGCAATTTAAACTGCATTTTTATTCCGAAATACAATTTATATTTTGTATCTCGCCGCAGATAGTCCTCCTACACCAGCCTTGATGCAACTGAGGGCGGCTGCAGCCGCAGCTGCTGCCGCGGTGGTGGATCCCTCAGCTGGGGCGGCGTTGTCTTCGCCACCCGCCGGCAAGGCTAGACGGACGGCGTCATCGGGGGCCATCAACGACGCCGCCAGCGGTGGTGGTGGAGGCGGTGGAACAACCGGCCGTTGCGGCGGTGGCCGTGGCCGGGGTCGGAGATCGGCCGCGGCCACGGCGGCTGGCGGTCTTTCAGCCGCAGCCGCGGCGGCGCTACAGCAACAGCAGCAGCAGCAGCAGCAGCAGCCCTTAATATTGCACCCACACCACACGCACCCACACCACCACCCGCACATGCAACAGCAACAGTTCGGCGCGGGCGGCCCTCCGGTCGTGTCGGCGTCTGCGACGGCGGCGGCAGTGGCCGCGTCGGCCACGGAACAGCAGCAGAGCCCACCGCTGGACAGGGTGTTCGTTTGGGACCTGGACGAGACCATCATCGTGTTCAACTCGTTGTTGACGGGTGGATACGCAGTGGCTCACGGAAAGGTATGTTATTCCATAAAGTACATCATATTTATCGAGTATCTTAAAGTATAAGAAAATTATTACAGTTACAATTTAAATGTCCTACAAATATTTTTCAAAAAAAAAAAATCACTTGAAATAAAACAATTGTTACACATATTGCTATATACAATATATTATATTGTATAAACCTTACGATTAAATATTCCCCAATAACACTGAGAAACCACAAAATAGTGTAATTGTATTCCGAAACTGTGAAAATTAACTAAAGAGCAATTATTGAACATTTTTACACGAACATGCAGTAATAATTACTTAGGTATGTCCGAAACGATTTCCTACGAAATCCTTGAAAATTCAATTTATCATAATATTACACCTATTGTAATGTATCAATTATATTCAAATATGTGCTAAATTCAATACAGTCCACAGATAAAATACCCTCTAAAACAATTATACATTTATACATGTATGAATGCAGTGTAGTTGTTCATACCTTATCGTTTGCACAGGACCAGCGAGTCATGCAGCAGCTCGGGTACCGGATGGAGGAGATGATATTCACGTTGGCCGACCAGAATTTCTTTTTCAATGAAATCGAGGTGAGTCGAGGGTCGATCGACAGATATTGTCCTTATTATAGATGCCTATATATAAAAAATAACTTACTCGGCTGTAATGTTAAAGTTTAATCGGTCGTCAGAAAAACGACTGACTTTTCTAGTCAAATAAGAGAGGTCTGAGTACACATACGTACGTAGTGTTCATTGAAATGTGATAAGACAATAACCAAAATAAATTAATTGTACTAGTCACTAGTTTCTAGATAAATTTGTTTTTTGTCAATGACAAAATTGTATAGCCCGTTCTGCAGTTCATTTCAGCACTAGGCAATCATTACGGTTTTAAAAAAGCAGTGGACTGAAAACTATACTTAAAAAAATATACTTTTTAGACCACTGTTTTTTTTTTTAAACCTTAACCTCAACTGAAAAAAATAAAAGGTAAACCACAACCGTAGCAGAGTGTCAACTGTCAGTAAGATCAGTCTCGCAAAGTACTCGGGTAAAAGTATTCAAATACTTATTCCGAATTGTTATATATACTTTCTCAATGTATCTGTAATTAAAATCAAATAGTAATTTGCAAATACTTATTCGCCTTAGCTTATATATTTTCTATTTGAGTTTAATTTTAATCGCGTAAAGAAATAAAAATAAAATTAAAAATCTGTACTCGGATACTTTTAAGAAGTATTTTTCAAAAGACTGGTCAAGATGCAGTTACTACAAGACGGGTTATAAGCTACATGGACCTTTTTTGATAAGATAATTCGACCATTTTCCGGTCTTCGAAATGTTTAAATGCGGATATAGGAAGTTGCGGCTGTCTATAGTTGTACTATAGTATTATATCCGTGGATACAAATACATTATTTACTTATCATAACCGTGTTTTGCGCAGGAGTGTGGCGGCGGCGACCAGGCGCAGCACATCGACGACGCCGCGTCCGACGACAACGGACAGGACCTGTCCGGCTACGACTTTGGCGCCGACGGGTTTTCCGCGTCCACGGCCTCCACCCAACACCACCAGCACCACTTCATCAACCAGCACCACTTCAACAGCACCGGTGCCAGTGCTGGCAACAATCACCAGCAGCATCTGCAGTACCACCAGCAGCAGCAGCACCCGCAGCAGCAACAGCACCACCACCAGCAGTACCAGCAGCAGTCGTACCAGCACCAGTCGCACCAGCAGCAGCAGCAACACCACCACCTGATGAGCGCCGGCGGTGGGGGCTCGTCCGTCGCCAATCCGTCGTCGGCGGGTGGTCTGAGGGGTGGAGGTCTGAGGGGCGGTGCCGGTGGCGGAGGTTCCAGCGGCGGCGGTGGCGTGGACTGGATGCGGAAGTTGGCGTTCCGGTACCGGCGAGTCAAAGAGTTGTACAACCAGTACCGGAACTCGGTCGGAGGTAATTATCGTACCCTTTGAGTGATGAACCGTTTGGTGCCCAACTTGTTTATAGGGCTGAGAAATCGTTCGATTGACACATTTAAATTCAATTTAATCAGTTGACAGTTTAATAATTCGAAAGTCGAAAACAATCTGAAATAATGTTATGTAGATAAATTTAAAATAATTTTAAAATATTCAAATGATTGTATATTTCAGTTCCGATCAAATATAATAAATTGTACTCGACGAGAGAAAACAATCAATGTAATTAGTAAATTATCATTTATTATACTAATAATCGAGATACGTCTAGTAACACCCAGTGGCCAGCTAGTGTAGTCGGTCGTATAACGACTTCTTCATTTTTCGATTGAGGAGTATGCCTACGAAAACTAGCTAAACGTAATTTTAGCCGTTGTCTATACAAATTTCAAAAAAAAAGAAACCAACCTGATTTCTATTTAAATACTTTTCACTCCTCACCAATCACGTACCTATAGTGTAAAGTACTCAAAGCCGAGCATTCGCGTGTCAAAAAGTTGAATTTAAATGCTTAAAGTTATTATTGTTTTTAACTTATGAATTTATATACAGTTCGAAATTGTGTTGTAGTAACTTAACTTTTTACGGTTAATCGTCATTGTTGTGCTGTTACGTTGGATTTATTTTCGTATCATACGAAACCAACATCGGACACGTTGGCAGTTTTTCGATTTGTATCTCTTCTTTTCTAATAGTTTATCACAGTAATCTGATGTTTGAACAATGTTAAACTCATTGGTAAATGTTTGTGTAATTCAAAATACTAGGCAACTTTATGACTTTAAAATATTATAGCTTGAAAATAATCAAATAAAAGTTTATTTTATTTTCTATCTTAATTTTTAACTTTTAACTGAAAGCAATTTAATTGAATTAACTTAACTTGTCACAGTTTCTTATTTTCACTAAATTGCATGCACTAATGTGTTAGCCTTTTAAATTTTTATCAGTAGGTATCACCTAATCACTAAAAAGTTGTGCTTCTGACTTTGAGGAAAAAAAAGATTATAGAAAATGTCGTGACACATAAATTATCTAAAATATGTTATAATTTCTCTCAAATTAATTAAAATTGTGGAAACCTAACTAGATACAATTTAGTACGCACCTATACTTAATATTGTAGCAATTAATATAAAACTAGATGGTTTTAATAAAAAAAAAGAATTGGTGTGTACTCAAGTTGGTTCCAGTCGGATCTATACCTACCAATAAACTTCGATAAAAAAACTAAATTGGCTGTGTAGAACATGTCTAAATAAAATAAATGCCACAAAATAATGTCTAGGATATATTATAATGGATTTAATAAATATTATATCGTTTACGTATTAATCGTAATTAAATAGATGATAAAATCTGCGGTTATTAAAAAAGTATACGTCGTACACTTGTTAACCAATGTACATTATATTACAATATTGTCAGTATACTTGTATACGAGAATGTAGGTTTTCGCATAATATGATGAACCTACCCAAGTCATCGAAATATTAGTATATAAAAACACGTTCGCCCAATTTAAATATTTACTTTATGCATTATTGTTACCATCAGTAAAATAAAGACTAAATAATTTTTTTCAGGCTGTTGTTTTGTTTGATTTTAAAATTGTTAGTACAATAATTGCTGTTTATTTCAAAATATTTTAATCATTTTTTATAAATTAGTGCAGACAATATTGATGGTTTGTCATCCGCTTAGCAAACTTAAATATTTACTTGACGCGTCATTTTTACCGCCAATAAAATAAATATCAAATAATTTTTTTGCTATTATTATTACGACTAATGTTTTTTATTTAATAGTATTTTATTTTAGATTCTGAGAGTAGAGTTTTTTTTTTTTGATTTTACCATGATGTGTTTTATTTTTTTTATTTTATCTGTGCTTTTACGGGATTTGTGCCTAACCTCTCATATTTTTGCTTGTTATATTTGGGCCTTGCATTTTTACGTTATGCAAATAATTTCGATTTGTATGTTACAGGACTACTGGGACCTGGCAAACGGGACGCTTGGCTCCAGCTCCGGAGCGACATCGAACTGCACACCGACGACTGGCTCACGATGGCTGTCAAGTGCTTGAACGTCATCAATTCGAGGTGCGTTTACATGAGCGTAAAATATATTATTATTATTTCACGTAAACCTTGATTTATATTTATATTTTTAAATTGCATAAACCTAATAGGTATTCAGAGGAATAAAATGAAAATATTACGCTTGTATAACAGGCGTGTCAAACACGCCACCGGTGGGCCTCATACGGCCACTGGCTCATTTTTTATGGTTCGGGGATAGCAATTATTATAATGAACAATTAATTTTTTTTTTAAATGTACATAGAAAGCCGTACAGTATTATTTTCGTGTCACAATTATTATGTTATTGAGAGGTATACATATTACATTATGTTATTTTTCTGTATTATATTCTCATAAACTGTACAATTGAGTAAGTATTTTACGTAATGAATACAATAAGAAATTTGTATGAAATGTTTTTTTGAAAAATTATTTCAATGTGGTGCTCGCACAGTAAACTTTTCAATAAATTTGGCCCCCGTTAATATTTCGAGTTTTGCACGTCTGGCGTATAACATAGATGAGGTTTGAAATCTTATAAGAATTTTTCGAATTTAATTTAATTTTCGCTTACGCACTTTAGTCTTATAGATTTCAATTTAAAACAATATATCGATTTTATTATTTCATGATTTTTATAACGTGCCACAATAATATTCTCGATTAAATATTTCCCCTATTACATATACAATCTAGCACATGGTATGACCTTATACTCCTGCCTTTCGTTTTCTAAATCTCTCCTGTCTATCTGACCGTCGTCGCTTTAATAATATTTCTTTTTTGGATCTATCGACTCTGCTTCCCGTCTTGCAGACTTAAATACACTTAAATATTTCAATATTCAAAGTAAATAGTAATTTCTCACCCGAATGACTACGCTCGCCAATGAAAACCAATCATTCCTCTTCTCGATCAAGGGGATTAAATACTGACTGTTGTAAGGGGTTTTATATAGGCAACTTCTTAAGCACGGGTCGTGTAAATGTGTGAGTAGTATATATTGTGGTCATGGTAGTATGTGTGGACTGGGAGTTGAATAAATATAGTATAATCATAGAAATTTAAATTATTTTGTTTTTTATTGTAAAAAGTATTATTATTTTACCAATTGTAATACCTTTACTTAACTAACCTATTTATCCGATAATACTTCATACACCCATAGCCTGTGAGTGTCTATCCATTTCACTGACGACTGGAATATTTAAGTGTTATAACTTGAATTAGATCAGTATACGTTGTACAACAAACATTGAATAAGCACCTGAGTTATTGTAGTCATCCAAAAGTCTGCCTTTTGTAATATTTTAGGACGTACAAATATTTGTCGTTCGGATCGTTTGAAACTATACCTGCCCACTGTAAATAAGTATCATCAGACTTCGGAACATGCGAACAATGTCGAAAAAGATTATAATACGCCCGATAATTTCCCGGGAATTTTCACATCACCACCGACCCCCTCTATAATCGTCAAATGACTATAATAATGTAATACCCAAAATGAATATCGTGCTGATCTGTTCTTGCGATCACCGCAGGCCCAACTGCGTCAACGTGCTGGTCACCACCACACACCTGATACCCGCGCTGGCCAAGCTGCTCCTGTACGGGCTCGGACCGCACTTTGCCGTAGAAAACGTGTACTCTGCTTCCGGTGGCGGCGGAGGTCCGTCGGCGGGCGGCGGTAAGTCCGGCGGCGGAGGCGGAACTGCGGGTTCCGTGGCATCGGCCGGATCGTCGAAGGAATCGTGTTTCGACCGAGTGGTGCAGAGGTACGGCCGAAAGTGCACGTATGTGGTGATTGGCGACGGGGCCGAAGAAGAACGGGCAGCCCGACAGGTACGATAAATAATAAAATGTTTTAATTATTATTCAACTATGTAGCTGCACAAAACAACCCGACTGGGAAAAAACGAACAGATATAATATACTGCTCAAAGTATAGATTATGCAGGGCGTGTCCGGATCTCGAAAGCCTATACGTACCTGAATTCACTGGAAAATCGAGTACCTCGGTCCGTGTACTGATCCCACCGTGTTTGGCAATCATGCGTGATGTGTCAGTGCGGAGTATTGGATGATGTGGTATTTAATATTTCGTTAACGTGGTTCAAACTACTTTCTATGATTTCCCAACACCGCCGACATTAAAAGCTCCGAAGTTTCCGTTATTGAAATCGGTCGAGTTGTATTCGAGTATACGATGACGTGTTAAAAGCGACGAAGAGTCACAAACATAATATTTCGTTAATTTTAGATTCCGTGCGGAGCGGTGTAGACGAGTAGCAAAAAAAGCGACAACGGCGCAGACACCTGTAGAATTTATTGTTGAATAAACAAGTGTTGTACTCGCGGGGTTTCTTCCTGACATTCGTGCAGTCGTTTCGTTCTCGTGAATACCATATAATATTATCGTTGACTAATAACGTTGCGATAGTCGCGTACAGATCATTGTGAATATCAGCGAACAAATCAAATTTAAAAAAAAATTGCCAGCCATCACTGCAGTTGCATGTGCAACAACTACATCGGGATTCCGAGAAAACGGCTTGACAATCGACCCGAGCGATATTTCGATTGCGCGATTTCTAACTTTCTCGCCTGTTTGCAGATGAACTTTCCGTTTTGGCGGGTGTCCGGCCACAGCGACCTCCGAGCCCTGTACAACGCTCTGGACATGGGATTCCTCTAAGCCGACCAGCCCGAATCGGCGGCACACCTGCAGAAGTGGCGGTGGTCAGTGTCAGCGATGTCGTCGTCGTCGTCGTCGATTTTATTTTTTTTTTCTGCAGGGACGACGTCATAACGATCATAATTTTTATGTATATAAATATATATATTATATAGTAGTATTGTGTAGTAGTGTATCAGATGGTATCGTCGCGTGTACATAATAAAATAGTAAAATATATAATGTAAGCCGCACGATTGACGCGACAACGACGGCGTCGTGTACATATAATGTCATAATAATTGACGAGTCGTCGTGTAAATAATGATTATATTGTATTGTGTTTTAATGTTTTGTATATTATTACGTTTTATTATACTATTCTAGTTATCTATGTATCCTACATATTTTTTTTTTTCGGTGTGCCCGTCAGTTTGTATAGTTTGTCCTGGACGTCCAATATTATTTATCATTATTACTCTGTACCGCTTGAAACTATTATTGCATTGCCTACTCGTAGTTCAATATTCGTAGCGAAATCGTCTCCCGTAGTCGGACGATTATAATAGTACTAGACGAACATTGTGCGTGTGTAAAACTTGTATTTGTTGTGCCGTATGTATAAAAAACATATATATGCCGGGTCGCATGAACAATCACTAAAAAACATTTATCGAATCCACAGTGATCTAATGGTCGCTTAATATTATGATTTAGTGGCCTGTGATCGGTTCGTTAAATCTTACCGAACCGTTAAAATATGAAATATTTTTTCGTGCAGCCCGGCAACAGGCTCATAGGCGCAAACAGCGAGGCTCCTGTTAGCCCTTCTCTGGCACTCCACTCGGACCCCGGGGACTATGCCTCCCCTCCCCATTAATCGTTGTGTAGCGACCCCCCCCCCTCCCCCAAAAACCTGAAGATTTCACGCCACATTGGAACACGATAATATGAAAACGTTTTCATCCCCGCGCCAAAATCTTCAGAACCCCCAAATCGCAAACACTATTTGCGCCTATGTATATAGTATATTATGTCGTATAATTTTGTATAGTGTGTATTTTTTTTCTTCATATTTTATTCCCATGGCTCACGCTATGTTTATGTTGTATTTAATATTATATTATCCTAGCCGTCGTACACTTTTTAAATATCGCACCGTCGTAGATATTTTTATCATATACTGTGAAATATAATGTCATTTTTTCGGGTAACACTAAATTTCTCGATCGGATTACGTTGGATTGGATTTGGCACTTTGTTGACAAGCTATGTACATCTATTGCCTATTACGGGCTATAGGATACCATAGGAGCATATTTTCAACTGTTCAACTCTCCCGGACGAACACGCCGCCCTGCAAGACTAGTATTGTTTTTGAATAACAACATCACCTATTTTTCGAAATATCTCAAGGTTTTTGTTATTATTGGTATCAATAACAGACTGTAATACTTAAATGAAAATATTTTGCACAACAAGTAAAATAATATTTCACCCTTGAACTTCCATCGTGGTCGTATGATATCAATCAATAATTCTATGAACACACGTAGACGTCCTATCATTTTAAAAATCAACAATTTCTATTTTTATTAGGTAATGTAATTATACCAGAAGTTATCGACTTTAATTGTAATAAAAATCGCCAACTTGATCAATCTGCTAAATTATATCTTACAAAATACAATTCTATTCCAGCACAGTAATGTACACCTCTTACTGGGGAAAAAAAATTCAGTTAAAAGTTTTACCTTAAAATACTAAACAAATAATCCAGATAAATGTATTTTGACATTTAAATAAATCGAGAAAAACCCGATTAAAATTGAAATGGCTCTCATATTTAGTAATATTTTCGTTTATAGAGTGATATTATAATCAATGTGACCAAATAAACGGGATTACACAAAATATGGTACAAAAAAAAGGTGTCACTATAAAAAAATAAAATGCTAGTTATGCTGAGCGTACTTATATAATAATGTGTACTTAAGTATATGACTAGGTACCCCCTTAGTTTTTCATAAAAAAATAACTGTGCGCTCGAAGTCTCCAACGCAATCGGGAAATTTAGTGTTCGGCGAAAATGTCTTTATATTTTCATTTACTGGCTGCAGTATATATGGTTATTCGTAACGCGTTATAATTATATTCCTGAGCGAAGTCGGTTGACGGATGCAAAGGTTGAGCGAGTTACTTTAATTTATCGATTAGTATACCTATAAGTCGCGTTTAATTTTTATCAAGCAAAATGCTTCTATTTAATATTGTTAAAAAAATAAAAAAGGTTGTTATTCAGTATTATAATGCTTTATGTCTTTATCTACCGAGCGTCTATAAGAAGTGGTTTAGTATTGGCGGTGGTAAATATTACCCTCCCGATTGTATTAATATATTTTACTATAATATTTATATGAATGACTTTTTAAAATTAAATTCAAATGTATATTAAAGTTAAAAAAATTGTATGTTCGTGTTGTTATAAACATTAAAATATAATTATACAACTATATAATGATGGGCTGTAGTAAATTTGCACCAAAATCGACCCAAACTATATTATACGCAACACGTGTAATTTGCACCAACACTTTTGAAACTCGTTTGCAATTTCACCAGTATAAAGATAATATTACATGTTATTCGCACCGTTTCAGGTAGGTAATAAGAAATAGGAATTGTAATGTGCATTACAATTCAAATCGATTAGTCTTTCGATAATATCTATGTGCACACGTTTTTGATAGTAGAATAGGTATACATAATACGACGAGATAATATTAAAGTCAATTAAAGTGTACGAATTGGTTCCCCGGAAAAAAAAACACTTTCCAGTATACAACTGTTCGAATATTGGTTCCCGAATAAAATCACTCATCAGTTGATCAGGATACGACTCACTGTCGCCTACAAGATATACGTATGTGTTCGATCGACGTTAATTTTTTTCTTATATTATTCACCCATTATGACTAGTCAGTTATTAGTTATTATATTATATTATTATATTATCCTTATTTATTATACGAGCACTATTATATTGTTATTGACAAATACGTATATTATGCGTTTATTAATATATTATACTGAGCGACATTTTTAACCATATACCTAGGTATTATAGATATAGTGTTTGAACTATTCGAACTCATTCGAATTCCATAGGCAGTCCTGAGTCTGAATAAACGGGAAAGAAATTGTCGCCGGTTGAATGTATCATAATAATTTGAAAAGTTAATTCAACAAGACTGTATTATCACGAAAGCTTGTGGGAACCAATTCGTATGTTACCTGTAGACAACCCGGGAACCAATTCGACAATATTGGGAACCAATTCGTAGTCGTCCGTGTAAAGCTATAATAACACACAACATTCCGTTTTAGATAATGAGCGGTTATTTCACGTACCTATTTGCACTGGTCTAGGGTGCCTACCTTCAGTGGCGCCGAAGTGTTTAAAAAATACTAAGACATCATAAATCCAGGAGCCCCTCCTGGAGCTTGGGCCCCCGATTTTTTTTTCAATGTAACAATTGAATGCGAAACAAACTACCCACATTACTACATATTTAATGTATAACCATTTTTTTTTTTCATTTATTAGCTGAAAAAATATTTAATTAATCCGTTTAAACATATGTAAGCTATTACCTAGCGACTAAGCTGTGACCGACCCATTTTAGATAAACCATATGAAATCGAGAACTAATTAGTTATTATTATCATTTAAATATTCATAGTACAAAATAGCATAACATAATAATTACCAAAATACTACATAGATAATCAAGCTTTTATTTAATTAAAAGTTACATCTTATATAAAATTAATGATTTAATCAACACACTACTTTTTTGTGCAAAAATATCTACTACTAAATCTTTATCAATCACAATGTCATTCTCACAAGAAATTTTAACTAGGCCTTCTGGGCGGTCTTCAGATGTCCCAGGACCACAACCGGGCCCCAGTAACCCTTGGTGGGCCCCTCCCAGTTATAAAATCTACTATGATATATGTCATAGATAAATTAGGTGATCGGCGCCACTGCCTACCTTATTGTCAGGATTGACTTAAAAGCTTTCTCGTAACGAAAATATTATGCGACAAACGCATTGTGCACATTATAATGATTGCATTGTTGTAGGCAAAACTGCAAAAGTATAATATTTCAATACACTTCATGTTCATAATTGTCATAAATTATTTATGTGTACAATTTGGATCTCGATAAAGAGCATCCGCGATTATTCTAATTTCTAACGCAATGACTTTATCTTGGTTTTTATTTATGGAACGCGAAGAAAAATCATTGAATTATACTATCTAAATATGACAATTCTGTTTCGAACTCAATTCTCCCGACGCAATCTGGGCTTACGGATATTGTTCTAACGATATACATCCGTATAATACGCATTTATAAGCACGTATTATTTTGCCACCAATAAATTCTTAATATTATAAACAGTAATTTGTTGTCAACAAATATGGCCAGCACATCGAATAATCGACAAACAATCGAACACACAGATACTCATTTTGGCGCAAAGCACAAACACTATTTTTGACTACCTGCGATGGTGCAACGTACTTACATAATATACCCAACATCATTTTGGTGGAAAATACAAACTCCTTTATACACTGACGTCATAATATATATAAACGAATTTACTCCAGACTCGAGAGAATTCACACACCGTACCCGTCGCTCTTCTGGTACTTCTTAATGTTGAAGTAGACCCGAGTTTGCAATCAAATGTGAGTAATCTCCTGCAAAGACAAACTTTTGACTAATACAAAATAAAGTGTTAACCGCTACTACAGATTGTGTTACCTTCTACAGAGGACAGTGTTGCATCCTACAAATGCATTGTTATAACTCTTAGAAACGATTAAAAAAAATATGATTTTTACCAAAAATTCAAATTCGTGTTTGAAATTGATAAAAATCTTGTAATTATCAGACATCATTAAATATCAATAGACGTTTTAAATTATCTAATAGTCTGTGCAAGAAAATACTATGGGCATATACGTATCTTGATCGTTTGACAAAAAATCGTGCAATGCCGTAACCACTACGCGTTAGGTAAGGTCTTTGACTTTATAGTATTTCGAACCTTTTTACAGTTCTATCAACAAAATTACAAACAGAAAATTTAACATCTAAAACGTCTAGAAGGGTCGAATAGATCTAAAATAATAAAAATTCTATAATTTCGAAGACATTCAGTAAAAAATTCAAGGAATTAGTGATAGTAGTTTGGTGATACATATTGGAATGTAAGTAGGTACAGCAAAATAACTAAACTGATTTTGTCGAAAGTATTGCCGACATTCCATCATATATGTATTTTTACAACACATTTTTTCCTCGGCTATTTGAAAAATAAATTAAATATTTTCTATTAGACCCTCTTTGCCACAACAATGGGCCCAATTTTCAATGATATGCCATCCCTAAATTTTAAGATGATGCATAATTATTACGTTTCAAATGCGTTACGACAAAAAAAAACATAAATCATTATAAAATCAATTCATAAAGTAATATTCAAATATTTTTCAATCGTATTAAATTTAATCAAATTGAATTCCAAAACGATGGGCCCATGTTTACTACACACACATACAAAATACAATTTGTTCGCGTACCGTGTGGTAATGTTGCATACACAATTCTCCTCGAAAAAGACTCGATCACTGATAGTTTATTCCAAACTGAATAAAAGTACATTGCACTTCGTTTTCAAGATTTTTGACAGAGGGAAACATTTTTTATTGACGACAGTTAATAAAAAAACTAATAAAACTCAAAATTTACATGTATAGCTCAAACAGATCGGCAATATTTCTAAAACATTAGTGCATAGAAATTATTAATTTTGTAAATTAAATCAATTCATTCAGATGATTAATTGACTATTCGTGTGTCTACAGTTTTTTCTTTAGCGTAATTACAAAACAAAATTTTAGCTTTTATGAAAATCTCAGTTTTTCCTTAATTTGTTGTTTGTTTTTCGTGACGCTTTTGAAAACTATTAGGAATTTTTTTATTGTCCTCTCAATGGTTTAACTAGCTTCACTTTTCTGCCAGAAAAGATTTCGTTAGAGAAAATCTGAAAACCAAAGCATTTAGCTAAATAAATTAAATGTATAATGACAGACACAAAAAAAAAAATAAATAAAATAAAAAACACACATCGCTGTAAAACAAATAGCTCCGCTCAAAATCTTGAATCTCTAACAATCGATTTGGGAGAATGTTCAAGAGTATGGGATTTGTAACAAAGTATACAGACAATGTTTATAATGGTTAGTTTAATGATATTATAGCACAGTAGCTATACACCTAAGTTTAAAGATCGATGAGTAATGAGTGCTCACGTTTTCAACAGGTGATGTACTGATGTAGTCAGACAAATAAACTAGTCATTATATGAAATCAATTCGGCTGCTGAAATTCCATAAATTTACGTAAAATAAAATAAAACTAATAAAATCCGAAATAATACTCACAACACCCAAACAAAATGAAATTTGTTCTCTCACTGTGCGTGTTATGTTGATTAACGATTCTTCACGATAAAGACCCGGTCACTAATTTTTAAACGGATAAAACCGCAAACATCTAATTTTTCCCGATAGACATTTTAATTCTCCACATTTTTTCTCTTCCGACACTGGTCATTTTGAACAAACTTGTGGTTCTAGAATTAAAAGGTTCTAAACAGTGGCTATACTAGTGAGGTTCTCTAGTGGAGTAGTGCACATTACAAAAAAAAAAAAAAAATATATATTACCAATATAATATGACTACCATTGGCGGCCAAACTTTTTTCGGTCACGATCTACCAAAACTGTACTTCACCTTTGAGGATCGACTTTCATAGAAAAATGTTTTAATTATACAGATAAAACTTGTCGACAATTTGTTCACTACAACAATTATTTCCATACGCGTGTCCCTAAAAACAAATTCTTACATGATCGACTTTGAAACGATGATTGTCCGCGATCGACCGTTTTTCCGCCCCTGATATACACTATAGACTGTATTAAACAATTGTTTACGAACATTATCTGCTGATAATCGGAATATAATAAACGAGAGGGAGGGAGAGAGAGAGAGAGAGAGAGTAAAAAATAAACTATATAATGACGCCTTGAAAATAATTAGCCGAAAACAATTGAATTGGTTATGTGCACCAGAGACGAATGTGCACATCAATTCCATTATAAGTGGGGTACAACGAGGGTTGCTTGTTTGGAA